CACCTCCTCCCACCGCACACCTCCTCATACCACATATCTCTGCACACCACATGCCGAACACCGAACACCTCCTCACACTGCACACCTCCTCACACTGCACACCTCATGCCGCACACCTCCTCACACTGCACACCACATGCCGAACACCGAACACCTCCTCACACTGCACACCTCCTCACACCAAATATCTCACCCCGCACACCTCCTCAGGCCACACACCTTCCTCATACTGCACACCTTATGCCGCACACCTCCTCACACCGCACACCTCCTCACACCAAATATCTCACGCCGCACACCACCTCATGCCACGCATCTCCTCACATCACGCACATCTCAGTGAGCTGAAGAGGGTTGAGAATATCAGCGTGTCATTTGAATATTCCGGTGAGATCCGATGCTGATGAATAGTCATGAGTTGCCGCCTCTGCAAACTGAAACCGAGAGGCCATCATCAAAGCCGCTGTGGTGCGAATCACTCACACGTGTGCGTCTAGGTTTGCGTGTTCGGATGCTCTTGTGAAACACAGAAACTTGATGTTTAATGTCTTGAAAACAATTCTGAAGGATGATGTGTTTGTAATAAAAACAGACCCCAGTGTCTATCCTGTTGACCGAGTTCACGTTCAGTGCCGTTTCTCTCACGGTTCTTTTCTTTTATGAAGATGTCAAAGCATTGTTGTTCCTTCACTTCTTCAGTGTCTCAGGCTTAACCCACATCACAAGAAGCACAAACGTAATTTCCTGGTAGCCTTTATTTGTCACCGTAAAATCTGTCCACAATCCATCTGTGGTGTCTGTTGAGGTTTACAGGTAATAAACCGCTACTGGGTTGAGTAACGTGGGGCCGGAGCCCTAAAACCCCCTCAGGACCCGATTGAGACCAGTGGCCTGGAGCAGTGAACACTTATCAGTGAATGATGGATGTAAAAAGCTTACAGTGAACACTAGATCATTTCATAGTTCAACCATTTTAAAAACAAGAATCTGAATGCTCATCTCTCTCTCTCTCTCTCGATGTGCCTCAGGCTTCTGCTGCGATAGGAATCGATAAACACTCGTATATACGCTGACATGCCCCGCTAAATTGATTTGTGTTTATTTTTACTGGCAGTAGAGTGACCTTGTGAAGGGTCAGCTGTTGCACCTTGGGATTGCTGTGTTTTTAGTTTAGTATGTTAAACGAATGGAGGCTGAGAGCGGTTTGAACCAGAACTTTTGCCAGGAACGGTGTTGTTGCCACGGCAACAAATGGAGCGCTTAAGCAGAGAGAGCTTGAAGAGGTCTTCACTAACCCATCCAGAACCTGGTCCTGTGTGTGTGTGTGTGTGTGTGTGTGTGTGTGTGTGTGTGTGTGTGTGTGTGTGTGTGAGCTGCAGTTTGGGTCCAAATGTGTTTCCAGTTAAATCTGACCTAACCCCCTCCAGGGACATTTGTGGACGTCTTCAGTTGGAACATTAAAATTGCAGAAAGTTAGTTTTTGTGTTCGCCTGTGGTGTGTCTTCATTTAGATAGGTGTGTATGTGTGTGTGTGTGTGTGTCTGTCAGTAATTAGTAGTGTGAAATGAGTGTGGGCGATTAATTGTGTGTTAGGGAGGTTGCGCCGGCGCTCAGCGTTGAGTTGGGTTGTAATGCACTCTGACACACATCTGGATTGTTTGTTTAGACTAATTGGGCAGAAAAACATCCTCAGTTGAGCTGAGAGTAATTTGACTGATTGTTCATCATTTGTTGTTTGTCATTTAATTTCAGCAATGAGCTCTGAGGCCTTTGAGTGGCTCTTTCTTCACCTTTTTGGAAACGTTAGCCGACATTGAGTTATTATTATTATTATTATTGAGATATTGAGATCTTGATGATGATGATGAGTCATTGGTAAATCATCGTCAAGGTCATTAATGGTCTATTTGAGATGCAACAGCTTCATAAAAACAGGACAAATATATGACAAATATGAAGTGAAATGAAATATGATGAATATATATGAACTGAATCTGGAAAGTTTCAAAAGTTTTCTTTTAATGTTATTTTTCAGTCTGCAGTCATTGTGTTATGTGCTCATTTGTAGCGTTTTGTCTCCAATGAAAGACTAACCATAGACTAAAGGCGTGTGTGTGTGTGTGTGTGTGAGTGAGAGTGTATGAGTGTGTGTGTGTGTGTGTGTGTGTGTGTGTGAGTGTATGTGTATGTGTGTGTGTGAGAGAGAGTGTGTGTGTGTGTGTATGAGTGTGTGAGAGTGTATGAGTGTGTGTGAGAGAGTGTATGAGTGTGTGTGTGTGAGAGTGTGTGTGAGTGTGTGTGTGTGTGTGTGAGTGTATGTGTATGTGTGTGTGTGAGAGAGAGTGTGTGTGTGTGTGTATGAGTGTGTGAGAGTGTATGAGTGTGTGTGAGAGAGTGTATGAGTGTGTGTGAGAGAGTGTATGAGTGTGTGTGTGTGAGAGTGTGTATGAGTGTGTGTGTGTGAGAGAGTGTGTGAGAGTGTGTGTGTGTGTGTGAGTGTGTGTGTGTGTGTG